AAAAAGCTCGAGATGAACGAGTCACGGTCCCGAAAGTGGGGGGCTCGATTCAATGCCAAATGCAAATACACGAGCACCAGGGCGGAGTTTACGTAACGACGTCTTGCATTTAAAATTGCTACAAGAGGGTGGGAGGGAAACGCTTATTAGCTCTCTCGTGCACTGGAGCTGAGTGGCCTTTAGCCGGCTGCTCCACAATGCTAGCGCGGCTCGTTTCGATCTACATGAGCGAGCTCCGGTGCGCGTGATTGTCGTGCAAATTTCGAAAAAGCAAAATATTCGAGGACGAACGAGCTGCGTATGTATTTTTGTGCGGCAAGTAGAAAAGCCCGGGTATGGTCAGACGCAAAACGAGCGTACATCGTGCAGCTTCCCCTCGATTCGATCAAAATAAGGGTATAGGACGCACACAAAGTTGAGCTTGCGTTCCTTGCACGCGGGGACTCTCCGTTTGAGCCATCGTCTCCATTGTGTGCCGACCTCGACGACAAATTACGCAACTTCAAGTTTCCCTCGTAACTCTGTGCTCGTCTAGAGCGCAACTATTTGGATGTTGAGTACACGCAAGTTCACGATGTTCGCGCTATTCTCCGCGAAGCTTCTACTTATCAACCGCTGGAGCAGAAACGTACGCACACTTTTGTCGTTTTATTGCACCAGTGCGTGCATCCGATTCTCGTAGTCGTTCCAGAGGCACTTGAGTGGGTTGTACCGTCGATAGGAGCAGCAACGGATATCAACTTTGTACTTGGCTGCACCTATCAACTTCAGTCCCGGAAGTGCCAGTTGTATTACAACAAAAGTATGGTATAATAGATTCAACCGTCAAAAAAACATGTAAAGCGTGCACTCAACCTGTCACTTACACGTGGAGGGGTGTATACACAAGCAGCTGTTATACATGCGAACTATTGAACGGTGGCCTTCCATTATGGGCTCCAGCTCCTTCATCGGGCTCTTCGTTAAGGTTGACGCGTGGCTGTCTTGTTTCATTACGCGGGCAAAATATTGAGCTTGCAAATGTTTTCTCTCGTTATATACATGATTGGCGTGTGTCGGAAAATGAGACGGGCTGGATCGATAGACAAAGGGGTAAAAGGTAACTGGCCTCTCAGTTTGGAAACTTCTATTGTTGAAAAATTGCAGTGACTCCCGCCATTTTTAAGGACTTGAATCAGTTTGTTAATTTTGGCACGTCCTACTGAACAAAAACCGTGGCAAGGTAAAAATAAATTTTAATTAAACGTCTTATTTCTCTCTTTGCCAGAGGAAAAAAGCTGTAACATCGCCAGTACAACTTAATTTAGAATAACACAGCTGTGCTCAAACGCGTACGACACTGTTTTACCCAGCAACATCAAAACCCACGATAGCGAGGAAGCGAAAAATTCGTATAAAAAAAATAGTGCACCTAATTCCAGCGTCTCTGCTGCGGTCGCACGTATAAGTATAATAAGTACACTCCCATGTACATTAAGTGCACGTACACGCGCGCCAGATTGCGCTGTACTACTCGACGCTCGGAATAAAAAAGAACGCCAAGAAAGTGTACACACGCTAATAACCACTGAATTTTTTTTACAACCAAGTAATTAAAAAAAAAAAAAGAAAAAGAAAAAAAGAAAAAAATTATCTCAGAGCTTGCGTGGGATTATTAAAAATCGAGTACGAAAAGGAGAGCAGAGCTTTCCCCGGCAAAATAATAATAAAGGCACGAGAGCTGAGGTAACACGCGCACTTATCCTATAGGTGGGAATCTATTTGAAACAATCGAGTTCGAAGTGTACTCCGGCACGTACACGTGAATTTTCGAGAGGAGGCTCGCTCGCTCGCATTATTTAAGCTTTTTAAAGGGAGCGACTCCGCGGTAGCTGCCTCGACGAAATCTGAGGTCGAGGTCGCGACACATTTTCCCCACGCGCGTGCACGCTTGCTTGGCTTTAATTCGAATTCTTCTTCTCCTCCACCTTCTTACTGTTATTATACTTTTTTTTTTCCTTTTAGCGCTTACACTCCTTTGCATTCGCGTGATTTCTCCGACTTGGAGATATGCGACAAATGTATATGTGACTCCTACTTTTGTACGATACGCGTTTAGCTGTACTTGAGACGAGCGAGAGAGTGAAATCGTTTGAAAATGATTGCTGAGCTTGGAATTCCACAATTATTTGGAAACTCGTACTTTTGTCCGCGTCGGGAGCGAAATAATTTATGACTCGAGTGGGTCTCGCTACTTTCGACCCGTTTACAATTTTTCCAATTTCCAGTCGTTTTACTTTTACGGGCGTTTTATAGCGCTGTACCCGAGATTTCGCTGATTCGTCGTAAAACATTATTGCACTCGCCCAAAGATCTACAAATGCATTTCGAGAAACTGATAAAATATATATTACCAATCCTTTGCTTTTACAGCTGAGATAAAGTTAAAATCTTTCCCCCCGACCGCGGCCACGGGCTTTAGTTGGAAAATATTACTTTTTGAAATGGATTTATCGAGGCAATCAAAAATTTGATCAAAGATTTTGTAAAAACTCTAATCCTCCTCCCCTCCCACACTTTTCCAAGAGCAAATGTTTGCTCGAAAGTAAAGTTTGCTGCCGGCAAACGTTGTTTTACTCTACGAGCCTTTCATACCGTTTATAGAGTATTTCTATTATGGAAAAAAAACCTTTTCAAACCTCAAAAAAGGAGCCCACACGTATCCTCGAAAAAAAAGGCACACAAAAGCTCCCTCACCTGCACAAAAATGAATCGGGTGGTGCACCGAGAGGAAAAAAATCTAGTCGCTCTTTTTCTCCAGTTAAGCTTCCACCAAAAAATGCATCCTCTCGACAGCTCTCGTCCATCCGTCCGAGTCCTGTAAGTCGCTCCAAGGAAAGCCAAGGGCCGCAGGACGCGCGAGCTCGCATAAAACCCTTCTGACCGCGAATAGTGGAGGAGAAAAAAAGGAGGGGGGAAACCTTTCCGAAAAGCGTCTCTCGAGCTTGGCCAAAATAAATGATATCGCGTTTGAGATAAGGCGCTTAAGCGCGTAACGGTGCTTCGCTCCGAAACCGGTGCAATTTTATAACACCATTGCGTCGGAGCTTCGCATTAGCCTGTGAGATACTTGGGACGAAATTGCGATTGGTATCTCAACTCAGATCTTTATTGTGGATTTTATTATTGTTTACTCGAATGTATTGCTGATCACGGTATTTATGTGGATTCGATTCGTTTGGGGTTACTGTTTTCACGTAGGATAGAATCACGATGTGGAATCACAAAGGCGTTCTATTATTCACGCACATTTCTCGAACTTAATATAGGCGTATTGAATATTTCACGATGTCGGCGCGAAAGCTTTAGGTAGTGTCGATCAAACGGTTATACGGAATATCAATAATACAAGCCCTTCGAATGGCAGATCAAATTTCCTTCTGTATATAATATTTCCATCGAAATACGCGATACTTCGCAAAAAGGGATGCATCCCTGAGGTTATTTGCGAATTGCTTTTTCGTTCTCTATCGATATCCAAATCTATTCGGGGACTCTCTGTTGTCGAGTCTTTTTGTACTTTTGGAGAACAAACGTAGTCTTGGGAAGATAAAAAGTTTATTAACCTTTACCTGAATTTACTCGTTGAAGCAAAATTTTTAATAAACATTTATTTACTTACAACCGATTTTTTCAGCTTCAGCCTGTCTTATCAAATATCTTACCATTGAACATGAATATTATGTTTTACAGAAATTTCACATTTTTAAAGGTATGAAACATTTCGATATCATCCAGAAACGTGTTTTCCCAATTAACGTGAGTTTTCTGACAAATGACTGTATAACGATTCATGAAGCAGCTCCTTATACGTATTCGTATTTTCCAACAATGTCGTACCCACTACGAGCCCCGCCCTAAAAAAAAAAAAGGAAGAAATTAGAGAGGAGATCCTTGCCAGGATATAACTTTCTCAAAGTTCCCCAGCCCCCTTGCCTTATCCCCCTGAACTGCCCACTTACCCCATCTACTTTACTCTTGCCTAGTGGAGGTGAAAAGACGTTCTAGCGCAGAAAAGTGGCTATACACCCGTGAGCTCGGCAGATCAGCAGTCGCGAAAGCTCGGATCACGAACACCGGAAGGAGCTGGCGTGCGCGAGAGGTCTTCTTTTCGCGAGCGTGTCGGGAAATTGCCCCGAGGTCGATACATCCTAGCGTGCAGCGGAACCTTGACCTCGTACTGGATTAAACACACCTCGCACCGAGTTATGGAGAGACTCGTCGTGCCCCGAAGCTTGAACACACGCAAGAGACGCTTGGCGCGAGAGAACATCGAATTAATTTCCTCCTAGAGGCAATCGAGGACTAGTGGCGTGGGCTCAGGTGTTTAGTATGCACTGGAGGAAGGGAAAACATGCCGAGGGATATCTTGTTTTTTTTGCACATTTGAAAGTGATGATACCCTCCGAAGAGAGCCAATAATCGACCACACCCAATCAAAGCCAGAAAGTTTGACCACGAGTCCAAGCAGCCGGTACTTGAATGGAGAATTGGCTCATTCGAGCTCTTCGTTTTTAGTCGAATCGCCTCTGCCGATCGGAAAGATCGGGGCAACTGACTCCGTTCTCCTTCCCCCTCCTTTGGAAACGGGGATTGAGAGTTCACCCCTACAAAGTTTGTCTTTGAGAGTAACGATGGCGTATTTTTTTTCGATCCATCGGTCAGTAACTTGCGACTAACTTTTTTCGTCGTTGTTTTTTTTTCTCCCCCAACCACTTGTATCTATCGTATCGTGTTTCGGTGAGTACACAATGTCTGTGTGGCTTGATGTAACTTTTTTCTCATACGGAAAATTGGAAATACCATAGAAATACCAAGTTATGCGTATAACTGATTGTAAAGAAATGAAATTGTGTTGAAAAAGTTTAAAGAAAGTGATAATCTCTGAAATACTAATGCACTTGAAATTTATTGATCGAAATTGTTGTATCTAACGATTATCCATTAACTTGTGTTTTCAGAAAAATCATCGAGTTGGGGATCATCGAGGAGGACTCTTACGAAAAGGATGCCCTATTCTACGTCGAACTAAGCCATCCGCAACTGCAAGGAGGTGAGTGACCCCTTTTTTAAATAATGGCAAAGTAAAAGTACGAGCGCACTTCAAGATGTGCCGTTTATATCGTCAATGAAAAAAACGTGTTTTGAGGAAAAATTATTGTTTATTGTTTCAAGTTGTAATCATCAAACCAAAAAAAGCAGTGTAACCAAACGTTCGTTCTTTTTTTTTTTTTTTTTTTTTTACCAGATAAACAACGTTGCAATTCAATCAGTAGAACACACACGACTGATTGCCTCGCGCGAGTCGAAAGTAGTGCAGACATCAAAGGCCATTCCGATCAGTGCAGTACACTGCGCGCAAAAGCAATTACACTCGATGGAAGGAGAAGAAAAAAAAAAAAAAAAAAAAAAGAAGATGAGGGGAGGAAAAAAAGTGCAACAATTAATTGCGCGATCTCGTCGTCAATGAGAACCACTCGAGGGAGGGAGAGAAGCAGAAAAGTGGAGCGTCGAGAGACAAGTTTGTAATTGAGAGTTGTAATTGAATTCGGCGACGATTAGCTGCTCGAGTGCAATGATCTTTTTGATTGGAGTCATGACTGTACCGCCATCCCACACGTTAATTACCACGGCTATGAGCAATTCATCCAAACTTGTATAGAGACGATTTTACATATGAATTGTCGCTTCTCAAACCTCAACACTGAAAAACGTACTCCTCATAAAAACAAATTTCCACTCAACTTTTTTTTTACTTTTTTTTGTTTCTCCGAAATACAACATAAAAAATAAATCCATTTCCTCCCACACAGCCTCTACATGTATACTTTGCGATAATAGCCTTAGCCGAAATTCAATTTCCCGCAGCGCTCAAAGTTTCTCCACAACGGCACGGACGCGGTGACGGGAAATTTCTCGTGCTCCCTTATTGTTTGTCGACACGTGTATCCCTTGCAAACTCAATTCCATGGCACTCGTATCCAGCCCACCGAAAGCACCGACGTGAAATCACGAGACAAGAAGCTACGCGACTCACACGCACAGCCACTGGGTACATTGAGCACACAGAGAGATCTCGACGGCGCGTATTATGCACTCGTTTCGCGCTCGACGGGTCAAAGCTCGGAACAAAGTGGGAGGGGAAAAAAAAGGCCAGAACCGGGTTGAGTCACGAGCATCCGAGAAAGGGGTACCTCGTGGGTCACGTCATCGGGTAAACGCGGAGATTAAAACGAAAAGGGGATAATTGGCCGGCCGAACTTGCGGCAATTAGTCACTCTGGTTTTCTCCTCGTCTTTTCAAGCGGTATTCAATGGGTCGCGCGTACGCGTCACGCGGAACGATAGGGGGAGGGGATAATTTGCTCTTTTGGCCGAGAAGTTTCGAAAAGTCATGGTCCGTCAGGAGACGCCTTTTATCCCAATGGCGAGTGTGGTGGCGATAAAAAAGACGTGGGCCTCGTTTCACCCACTGGGGTTTATTAAGTTTCAACTTGATTTTTTTTTTTTTTTCAGTTTTATTTTCATTTTTTTTCCCTCGAAAACTACTAATTAAACGGGGCAGACGTCTCGCGTATATTGAAAAAGTTTCCATGGGATGCGGCAGATGATGACTCCCGAGGCAAGTACGTTACTGGATTGGAGTGAAAATAAAACTCAGAGACACCTTTTCTGTTTGCGTGAGAAAAAAAAAAAAAAAAAAAAAAAAAAAGAACGAAACGTTTGGTAATAGCGCAAGGAAAACTTATCAGCTTTGAACGAGCAAATACACGCTTGGAGTGGGAAACAATGTATTTGTTAAAAGATTTGATTTATTTTCGAAAAATAATAGAAAGAAAGCCTAGTTTGCGCGTTGGCGCATGTCACGTGCCTAATTATTAATCGCAGCATCATGTATATTATTTCACGTGGTGTACCCGCAATATAATTGCCCGACGGGCGACAACCGATGCCGCCGACGACTCCCTATGGATACCAATCGGTGATGATTGACCGTAAGTTGTTCAACGATCAAACAAAATAGCCAATCGCATACTTATCGCCACTGTTGGTTATTTGCTAAGTTTATCAGTAATCAAATTAAAAAAAAAAAAAAAAAATTAGCAACGTATACATGTACAAATTTCTAATACCGTTGAGACATAGTTGCACAAAGGAGAGTTGCAGCTTTTTTGTATGCTATTGCAGATTACTAACCATCACCCGTTTATCATTTTTATTACAATGTGTACATGTTGTTCAGTAGGTACTGCTATATATACATAAACATTATACTGCACGTTAAGTGCAACAGTAGCATCCTCTTTTATATTATACACCAGAGGCGAGGGAGCGCGTAGAGATTGTACCTACACGTATGTTGTGCGCGAAGCATCCCTAGAGTGCCTGTTTGTTGTATACGCAAATTAATAATAATCAGATCCTAATCCAACGACACCCATGTACCCACCTGTGTATATATTTGTATATAACTAATCGCAAATACGATCGGGTTGGCCTTTGTGCCCCTCGTGTACGTACATACACGTCTCTCGCTCTCCCCGAGCTCTGTGGTGTATAAATTATTTAGTCGACAACGTGATACGCATATGATTCTCGAGAGTCGAGCTGAACATCGTCACGTGCAATGGGTGTCTGTTTGGCTTTTACAGGCGCAATTAGAGGCTCTTTGATTTTTCTTCAATTTTACATTTTTTTTTTTTTTTTTTTTTTCATACTTTTTCGAAACGAGAATTTTTTGTCGCCCTTTTTCTCGTGGTACACATTTTTGTGCTTTTCTACGTTGGTCATTAAAAGTAGTTACGCATACTAACAAAAAAAAAAAATCACAATTAATGATTTGCATAACAATGCATCAAGTCTTAGGTTAAAAAAAAAAAAAAATAAAAATTAGAACAGTTATCACAAAAAGCTTGTTGTTGTGGCATTGTTATTGGAGCGACAATAGAATTTATAAACAACACAATTCATTTATCGGCAAAATAGCAGCAGAATCACTTTCACGCACATGTAGGTGTATACAGCAATAATAAACCATAGATACCACTATTTAGTATTTGACATAATGGCACATGTAGTAGCTAAAAACAACTAAAATCATCCAATACACATGTATGTTATTAGTTTTTCTGTGTGTGTGTTTTTTTTTAATCTAGTTAAATTATAGATAAGCAATGAAATAACAATATTATATCACTAGTGTTAATGATAATAATCGTATTGTGAATTATGATGTACCAATCAAGACTAGTCATCGAATAACCGTAAGTCACTAGTCCAAGGAAAACGACGAATTATCCTTGAGTTAAATAAACATTGTTAGCTACCATTGTCTCTGTAAGTATCGACACCCTCACCAGAATAAAATAGTTGCACCTTCCGAAAATTAAAAAAAAAAATAACTGTCCCTAGAAACGAAAAAAAAAAAAGTTTAAAAAACACACCCCTCAAATAGTTAATTATATATTCATTGACCACCAATAAATGCAAAACAATTACAAAAACAGTAGCGGATAGAATAAATCATCTCAATCACTAAAATCACGTGCTAGGCAGGGAACAACGTTATCAGAGCACATTCTAGCCAATCAATGCCACGCGCACGGTCTTCAATTTGCTTTAGGTTACAATCCCGAGCTTACCCTCTGATAAGTAGATTAGCATTAATACTCGGAAGACTGTGTTTCCTCGAGGCAGAGAGTTATACTTTGGTAAAACGTCTCTGCCACACATACCAATGAACGGAAAACATCGGCTATAAATTCTTTACTGAACGAAAAAAAAAAGGAAATTCCATTCCCTGCACAGGAGTAGGATCCTTTTAAGAACTCGGCTGTTTTCTTCCTTGGACGTAATCTTATTAACTTTTTCTCTTCCCTTGCCTCAAATCTCCGCTTCTTCGGCTGTAAAAGTTTCATTGAGACGCATAAAACGAGAATTTCAAACTAAATGAAACACGTGACTGCAGCCCTGGACGCGTCCCTATGTATATACGCAGTTGACAAAAGTGCACCCCTCGTACTTTTTCTCTCTCGTGTGCATCTGACAACTGACGATACAGGGGAAAGAAGGAGAGTTACGTGATACTAAAAGTGGAAAAAAAAAAAAGTTTTTTTCCATTTCTGCAATATCTCTGGTTGCGATGTCGCACTGTCAAGCAAAGTGTCCTTTGAATTTATAGATGTTTTGAAAATTTACTCTGGATATAGCGTCAGTTAACTCTGTTGACAGTTATCCAAATCGCGGTGATTTTTTATAAAATCCACACGCAATCCAAATTTACAACTTCATCGCCGCGAGAAAATAAGCATCCTCGATTTACAGCTCCAGTATAACGTAGAAAATCGCGTCTCTTCCATGTAACATTAGCATGATAATTAAGGGCGACGTGGCGGTGCACCAAAGTTCCTCAAACAATGACCAAACCCATCGTCTATCGTCAATGCGGGACCGGCGCTCCGCTATAAATTATCATCCGACAAGTTGCTTCGTTCCACGCGCATCTCCTCGTCTTCCCGCAGCTATTATCTTACACCCCTGCAAACTCGCCAAGATTATTATTATGCCTTCAGCTTCGCCGCATACAACAATCTTTCTCTTGGCTGTGGTGCCTTGTACAAGTTTGCTGGACGGATGCGGGACTCTATCGATCGATCCGTTTCTAAATTTCATCTCTGTGTTTTTCTTCCTCGCTACTTATAACGTGCATACGAATGTATGTATTTTTTCCTATCGGGCGTGTGTACGCGTATAGATGGCTAATACACCATGAATATGTAACGAGCGTAAAAGGAGCAGCTGGTTGTCTCGGGGCTGCGGTTAGTTGAGCGTATGGCTTTTAACCGAAATTTCGTTGGCGATTGCTCTTACCTCTGCAGCCGTGTATATATGTACGTGGGTGTTTACGTTTGCCGGCTTTTATGGGCCCAAGTTGTGCCTTTTATGTCCATGCGCTTGGAGTCGGGGGTCAAATATTGACAGTTTGTTGAAGTATCCGAGGGGCAGTTTTTTTCTTCATGTGAATGGAAAAGGGCAGTTTCGGAGAATGCGGTGG